AAAATCAATGAACAAAACCAATTATTCATCAGTGTCAGAATTTGTCTTCCTGGGACTTTCTACCTACAAACCAGTGCAATATTTTCTCCTTGCCTTCTCCATAATGTTTTATGTAACAATTATTCTAGGGAACCTTCTCATTGTGCTTTCAGTGACTTTTGACCCTCATTTACATTCTCCCATGTACTTTCTTTTAGCTAACCTTTCATTTATTGATTTTTGCTTTTCTACCTTAACAATTCCTAAGATGATTTCTGACCTGTCCTCTGGGCACAATACCATATCCTTCCAGGGCTGTGTCATACAGATATTCGTCCTTCATGTTCTGGGTGGATCTGAGATGCTGCTGCTCATAGCCATGGCCCTGGACCGATACGTGGCCATATGCAAGCCCCTTCACTACCTGACCATCATGAGTCCACGGATGTGCATTTTGCTTTCATCAGGTGCTTGGGTTATTGGCCTCATTCACTCCGTGGCCCAGTTAGCTTTTGTGGTTCATTTGCCCTTTTGTGGTCCTAATGAGATAGATAGCTTTTACTGTGATCTTCCTTGGTTTATCAAACTAGCCTGCACAGACACCTACAGACTGGAGTTTATGGTTACTGCCAACAGTGGGTTCATTTCCACTGGCACCTTCCTCTTATTGGTTGCCTCCTATATCTTCATCCTGGTTACTGTATGGAAGCGCTCTTCAGGTGGGCTGTCCAAGGCCCTTTCTACTCTTTCAGCTCACATCACTGTGGTGGTTTTGTTCTTTGGACCGTGCATCTTTGTTTATATGTGGCCATTTCCCACAGCATCACTGGATAAATGTTTTGCCATTTTGGACTTTCTTATCACACCTATCCTGAATCCTGCCATTTACACATTGAGGAATAAAGACATGAAGCTGGCAATAAAGAGACTGAGTCATCAACTCCTGAGCTTTAGAAAGATTTCCTTAATAACTCACAAGAGAACAAGTTCCTGAGTGCATTTCAAACAATTCTACTAACACAAATACTTACCTCACTATAACTTCAGGATTATCTGACATAATTGTTCTTGGCATAGGAGGAAAGCCAGACGATGTTGCAGCAGTCTGTGATGTCCTAGATTCACAACCTTAGGCCTTTCTGTGCACATTGGGCCGAAATGTATATGAATGTGAATTCCTGTGATCAGGGCTGAGTCTTGAGGATGGATTATGGCATGAAGACCCTGTTGAGAAATACTTCTCTCTCATGGGAGAAATAAAGTTTAAATAAAGAAACAAATATAGGAGGTCAGAACTTCTTAGAAAATGTTATCCAAAATTAATAATAACTTTTGGATTACATATCTGATTTCTCATTTGTGGATTATTTTTATGTACCTTAAGATTTTCTAGTATGCAGCTTGCATTTATGTGTGTGTGCAGCTTTTTTTTTTTTTTTTAGTCTATTGATGACCTTGCAATGTTTATGGAATCCTGATTATAATTCTCTAGTTGCAGAACCACGGGTAGATATTTGTATTTCCCTTTATTTATGGTTTGGAGGACTTCCTTTCTCATAAAGAGATAAATTATTTTCCACTGGGACAGCAGATGACATAGCAGTTAAATCGCTGGACTTCCACAGAGTCAATTGCAGTTCGAGTACTGGACTCGGTGGCTTAAAACTCATGCAAGGCACGTGTGTGTGCATGCCCCAAATCATCAGAGGACAATGGGGGAGAAGGTATTGCAGAATGGCCATCCCCCGAGGTGTGATTTCTTTCTTTCTTTGTGTCTGTCTGGTGCATCCTATAGCAAAAATCTCTCAAAAAATAAATTAGCTCCCACTGTATTTCTTTGGATCAAAGTAGACACATAAATTCATATTGAATAATTTTGTAAGTTCATTTTTCATTTTCTTATAACATATACATGAAAGAGATTTGAATTACTCATTGTAATAAACATTCTTCTTTAGGCTTAATATTTTTCTTAACTCACCATTTCATAATATTTAAAATAAATGATTTATTATTAAGCTGTATTGAATTTAAACATTAAGTTTCTATTTAACAAATTATTTGAAATCCCAATATAGCCCTAGGAAGTTTTTATAGGAAGTTGATGAAAAAGCAGAGATAATTGCCTTAGAATATGCTGAAATTATGGCCAGATATCATAACACTTACAGTTAAATTAATTTACTTAGAAATAATACACTGAAATTTCTGAAGAAACTATGAAATATATACTTCTCACTCTCTCTCCATTTTTTTTGAAAGGTTTTACCATAGAGTGCATGCACTGGTTGGAGATAGACAGACAGAGAGAAAGTGAGAAATCACCTCCCTCTCCCCGTTGGATGGTCCTGCTGCAACTTATTCTTTTACAATCTTTTTTGGATTTACTACTTGCACACACATGTGTCCAGCATGATTTCCAAACCACCATGTCCAGGACTCAAACTGCAGTTGGGCATGCGGAAGTCCAGAGCTTTAACCTCTATGCCACCTGCTGGCCCCAATTTTCCTTATATTCAAACTCAGTATATGAATAATTAAATTTATATCTTGTCTTAAAGTTAAAAAGTGCATGAGAGAGAAGGATTTAAAACCTGGAGGAGGAAAGGATAGAGTAGACGAGATAAATAAACAAAGTGGATGGGAAGGGTAATAAGGAAGAACCGGAACATGGTAGGAAGAGGGATAGGAGGGAAAGCCTCAGAGATGGGATGTTTCATAGATTAGGCCTGTAGTTCCACATGCACTTCTGTTTGTCTGAATTCCAACTGACTTAAGCCCTCTCCAGTTTGTGTAGGACAGGGAAATTAATATATGTTGTTTATATCACAATTTTTGAAATTGTGGCTTAATGTCTATAAGCCAGTCAATGAGTATGCTTTAAACATTAAATGGATGTTGATCTGATAATTCACCATCAGGGATGATTTTAAGGTAGATAGCGTGATGGCTTGATATGCATATATTTTATAAAATAATTACTAAAATTAAATTAAATTTCACATGCATCAGCTCACCATACTGTACATTAGATCCCCTTAACTTACTCATTGACACCTAAAAGTTTGTACTCTTGGACCAATACCTCCCATCCTCCATCATAACTACCATCTTCTTTCAGTTTCTGTGAGTTCAGTTTATTTCATTTTAGATTCCACATATAAGTAAGATGCAGTATTCTTTTTTTGACTTATTTAACTTAGCATAATTCCCTCAAGATTCATATAAGCTGTGGCAAATGATAGAATTTTCTTATTTTTAAGACCCTATCTATTAAAGCTCCTAGAAATTGAACCAATTTCAAAATATTCTTGTGCCAAAATAAATACTTTAATATTACTTTTCCACAAACTTTTTCATGCTCCTTTGCATAAGCACCACAATTTCATTACACATTCATTTATCGAGGAGTATTCAGGTTGTTTTATATCTTAGCTATTGTAAATAATACTGTTATGAACATGAGAATGCAGATGTCTTGTGCTTTGCTGATTTTATTTCCTTTGAGTATATACTAAGAAGAGGAATTTCTGGGTTGCATGATAGTTTTTGAACAACTTCATGCTTTTTCCTTTAGTGGCTGTACCAATTTACATTCCCATTCACTAAACACAAGGGTCCCCGTTTCTTCCACAATTTCACTTTCTGTGGTTTCAATGACTGGTGTTTTATCTCTTGTCCTTTTTATAATAGCCATCCTCTCTGCTGTGCAGTAATTTTTCATTGTGGTTTTGATTTGCATTTCTCTGATGATTTCATGTTGAGCACAATTTCACATTATTTTGGCTTTATTTCTTCTTTTAAAAAAATGTCTATTTGGGTCTTTTGCCTTTCAAAATTTGAGTTATGTATGTGTTTCTTTGTGTGTGTGTGTGTGTGTGTGTGTGCTGTTTAGTTTTGTGAATTCCTTAGATTACTTTGATATTAACTCCTTATTAGATAAATGATATGCAAATATTTTGTGCATTTCATAAATTGCCTTTCATTTTGTTGATTGTTGTCTTTGCCAGGCAGAAGCTTTTTTTTTTGGTGGTGGGGTGGAGTGAGGTTTTTTCTATAGGGCGCTTGCATTCACCAGAAAGAGAGAGAGACAGAGAGAAAGCGAGAAGTTACCCTCAATGAGGGATGGTCATGCTGCAATATGTTCTTCTCCATTATTCTCTTGGGATCTTGGGCTTGGGCATGCAATGCATGCACACAACCCCAGCATGAGTTTAAGCCAGCGAGTCCGGGACTCCAACCGCAGTCAACTACATGGGAGTTCAGTGACATAGCCATTAAGCCAACTGCTGGTCCCACTGAGCAGAAGCTTTATAGTTTGATATAGTACTGCTTATTTATTTATGCTTTTGCTGCTTGTGTTTTGGTGTTACATATTTGTAACAAAACAAAAAAACCGAAAAAGAAGAAACTTGCTCAGACCAACATAAAAAATATTTCTTCTTGTTTTATTCCCGGTTTCTGGATACAAAATCAATCTACAAAAATCAGTTGGATTTCTATGAAGTGACAATGATCTATCTAAAAACAAATAAAGAAAAAATCCCTATTAAAGTAGCATCAAAAAAGAAAAAAATTCTTGAGAATAAATTTAGTCAACAAAGTGAAAGTACACGATAGACTGTATAACATGGAAGGATGAAAATAGAAGACACAATGAAGTAGAAATATAGTATTTTTTTTTTTGAGAGATTTTTACTGAGAGGGTGTGTGTACAAGCTGGAGACATGAAGAAAGACAGAGAAAGAAAGCAAAAAGCCACCCCTCCAGGGGGCATGACCATGGCACAGTTCCTTCTCCATTCTCCGGTCAGGATTTTGGACACACATGGACATGTGCCCAGTGTGAGTTTTAAGCCTCTGAGTCTGTCCATTTCCTCATGATTTATACAGAAAATAACTTTAAATGACTTATTGTAAAAAGCATACTTTTTTGGGGAGAGGTTTTTGTTATAGCTCACCAGAAAGAGACAGAGAGACAGAAAGTGAGAAATCATCCCCCGGGGGGGATGGCCATGCTGAAATCCCTTCTCTTCCTTTCTCCTCTGGGTCTTGCGCACGCATGCACATGCACCTAGCATGTGCCACCAGATCCAGGACTCGAATCACAGTCAACTACATAGGAGTCCAGCGAAATAGCCATTACACCATCTTCTGGTCCCTAAAAAGCATACTTCTTTAGGCTTAAATATTTTTCTGAACTCACCATTCCTCTTCTGAATATATGCTCATGTCCTTAATCCTGGAAAACTCAAATCTGATGACAGTGGGCTGTAAGAACAGCCCTCCCTTGACCAGAAAATCTAGTGAGTTGTGAGTTACAGGTAAGGCATTCATTTTGATGCTCTATGGAGTCCACAAATCTCAAAACATAGCTGGAAAAAGAAGTCCTGGACATTTCTGGAGAATGTGCTGCACTTTGAACCATCTCAATTAGTGTGCATGGCAAATGATACTAAAACATTGTGAAATTGTCTTAAGTATGATAGAGGAAAAAACACAGAGAACTAGCTAAGAAATATATAGCATATAGATTATATATTAGCAGACACACATTGTATCTGACAATATTTTTTCCCCCATGGATAAGCATTATCCATATTCTAACTAGATTATGTAATAAATCATATTGCAATAAAACAAATAATTTTCTGCACTGATCACAGTCACTGAGAGTATGACGCATGTATTTACTTCAGAGAGTAACCTCTGAGGCAGAAAACATTCAGGATACCTTTATCATGTTCCTTTTGGACCTCGTAGTTTCTGAGTTAAGAGAATCACTTGATAAGAGATCTGATGAATATAATTAAAAGTTTCTAATGATGAAAGTTAAACATGACTTAAATTTCATTTTTATTTCACATTTTTTAAAAGGAAAAGATTACTTTATTTCAGAACTAATCTGCTATTTCAAGTCCTTGCAAAAGCCACGTGGCTTGTGTGAATGGGAGTGGATGACCAGTACTGGAAGATGAGTCAGTCACTGATGCCA